ATTTCGTATATGCTTTTAAATGGTTTAAATTTAATACCCCTAAAGATCGCAATAGCAATCTTTACACATCATAAAATCGATCCAAATCGATACTAGGATCGAATATTGATTTTGGTAAGTGGTAAAACTGATGATAGTGGGCTTAGTAAATGCCTATTATTTTCAAAGCGTCATACTTGGAAATAAACACTGACGACAGCAACCTGTTCCGAACTATTGCTGTATTCCTAGTACCTTCATCCAAGGCATTACTTCAACCAAGTTTGTAAACACCTGATTACTATTCACATCGGAAGTTTGAGCTAGTTTAAGGCGCCATGTTATCGCTATAGAAAGTGCAGCTTAAACGGGACAACGGTGTCGAAAATATAAATGCAACGAGCAACTCCTTCAGATTAGTCACCGGACAATTTTAAACTTTGCCAATTTATAATTAGACTAGTCGTAATATTTAAATATCAGCAAATAGCCCTTGCCTGCGACTCCGTCTGCGTAAAATTAAGAAAATAAAATAATTGGTAGCCTATATGTTCTCTCACACTTTAATCAAATTAAGAGAAATCGATTAAGTCGTTTTGGAGATATTTCCCATAGAGTGTCTGGTTGTCTCAAACTGTATGTTTGTCCGTAAGACAGCGTTTGTTCCGAGTAATCTTCGGAACGACTGGACCGATTTTGACGGGAAAGTAGCTGATACACTCAGGCACATTTTAGGCTAGTTCTTAAATTCTGCGCTGACGAAGTCGCGGACTATCGATAGTGATAAATAATTTAGTATATTATAAAAATTTGAGTTCTTAGTAGTAATTATTATATCTCGTCGTATTCAATAGTAAATAATTTTATTTTCCGTATTTATTATATTATATATATTATATCCGTATAATATCGTATATTTAGCAAAAATTACTAATAAAATTAATATGCTGAGTATTCCCACTGAATAATTTTACGAATATCAATTCGAGTTATTACATTTAAAATGAGTATAAGGATAACATTATGTAAGTCACCGTAAAGCCTTAATTAAAGCCAGTACAGTAATACAGAAGCGCTCAAATTCAGTTGCATATTACTGGCATAATGTAACCATTGCCAGTGACACAACAATTCATACCAGACCATTGCTACTGTCCTATTACACTGGAATAATGTAAACCAGACTTAAGTGAATACTTCTAGGTTATTAGTTTACTAGGATTTTTTAGTTCTAGAAACATAAATTGTCAATAAGTCAGCCATGTATTAACATATATGAACATAAGATTGTACAAAAAAATCTTGTAAATACAATCTATATTACATAGATATACATATTCATATAAAAATACATGTATCTATATTATGTAAAATATGAAAAAGTGTGTATGGTTGGTACACATTGTAATTGCTACAATTAACTCATACACCATGTGTGAAGTATTATGTAAAATATAGTTGTGAACATACAAAACCATTTAACCGGATAATAGAAGCATTTTAATGAGCCATTTTGCAAGTGCATAATTGATTCACATAATAAATACAACAGGCTTTTTATACTATTGTAATAAAAACATTGATAGTTAACTTATAAGTAAAATAAACTACACTAAACAATAAATTAAGTCAAAGATCTTTGATACTTTCTTTCAACGTTTACTTATTATGTCTTACCAAAATTTCAATAAAGGTCAAACTTATAAATCCTAATTATAAAAAAAAAAATCTTTCATATTCATTTTGAATTGTAAATAGTTTCTATTCAGCGTAAAGTCTTAGTCTTAGTATCTATACATAATGCAGGCTCGAAGAAATTCTGGATATTTGCCCAACATTTTTGAATACAACAAAAACATATAAAAACCACACTACCCAATACATTAAAAATATCTTACACTCATATACTGCAGATAGAAATATATAAATATACACAATTTGATATTTAACAGTTTAAACACAACATATGGACATTAACATAAAAACGAAACTTCAGCTAAAAGCAAACACGGAGAAAAAAATGGTTTCTTGGTCTTTATCTAAATAAATTATGGATATTAAATTATTTATTTTTATTTAAGAATTCTTAAAAGTTAGCCATTGAGTCTTATTAATGACAAAATGTATTAAAGAAGTAATTTTCAAGTCAAAGATTAAATGAGTATATTATTAAACCTATTAGCTATTCATATATAAGAATTCATCAATTTAAATATTGAAGTACAATCAAATTTGAACATATATTATACAACTTAGGGAAAAAATGGTTGAAAATATTTATAAAAATATAACCAACTCGACTAACATTGTAACTTGATAAAAAAACATATCATAATTTATCTAACACACTGAATTAGTTGTACAACAAACTGTGGAAGTGTTAGACATTATATTAATATGAGTTTCCACTGCCAAAACAACTGTACAAGAACATATCATCATTCTTTTTATTCTTGTGCTAAAAACAGAGATACCAATATGTTTTTGTTAATGTATCTTAACAGTGGAAACCCACAATACTAAAAACATTCATGTAATACCAATTGAACTAACATATGATTAATTTTTATCATTGTATCAAATTTACAATATGCTAGTAACTGTTTTTTATGTAAATAAATATTGGGCGGATTTATTGAAATAAGTTAGGTTTTATAAATGAAAATAAATGATTTACTTCTCTCACATTCAAAATATGTACCAGTCATATAGTTGCGCAAATTATGCTCTTACAAATACTACTCTCATTTTTTTACTAAGCAGCTGTCGCCCGCCACTCCATCCGTGCAGAAGGAAAAAAAACTTAATACCCTGTGTTCTTTCAGACTATATTCTACAGCTATGCCAAATTACAGCAAGATCCATGCAGCCATTCTAGAGCTATCTTCAAACAAACATCTATCCATCCGTCCATCCAAACATTCGCATTTATAATATTATATAACATATGAAAATTAGGCATGAATAAAGTAAATCTCAAGTGAAGTCAACCAACCCGCACTTGGAAAGGAAAAGGAGATATTATGGGACCTTTGTTACAAGTCTATATGCAGTTTACTGACACAACTTGTGTATATTATGTTTGTATTATAGAGCATAATAAATCTTATAGGATATTTTTGTGATAGTCATGTAACATAGGTAAATAGGTATATATGTATCATTTATTCTTATTTATGAAATATAAATGAATTAATGAATCACTAATTTCATCCCTCTTATGTTTCATACGAAATTATGTGGTAATTTTGTTGCAAGTTAACCAAAATTTGGCTAATACTTATATCTAGAGTGTATTTTCAACACTTTATGTTCAATTTGTGTTAAAAATATAATGAATGAATAATAATCAAGTGCAGAGACATTATGCAATGTAATTTGCACAATACAAAACACCAAGTAAGTCTACTTTGTTGTAATTAGTCCAATTTTGAAAGTAACACATAAGTTTATTATTTCAACACCATTACAGTACAATTTTCAATATTTAACCTTTACATGTAATTCAATTAGGAAAAATTCATTTTTATTCTTCAAGTTAAGGCAAAAACATGACTAATCTGATTATGCTCAAAACTAACTAGAATTTAAGGTAAAACTTTTTAATAATATCATTTGGAGGACTTTTAAAAAATCATTTGATCATTAAACATAACATTTCTATTTGTGTTTAGTACAATTTATATGTTTACTTCATACCACAAACTCAGGTACGACCAGTTCAGTGTGTAAAGACCAAGAAACCATGAATGGAGGAAGTGACTTACCTTAAACATAGGGCGAGGGTGCCTCGGCTGAGAGGGCGCGGTGGCCGCAGCCGAGACCGCGGGCGCCGGCGACGGCGAGGTCACATGGTCAGCCGGCAGCGACTCCGGCACCGTCTGCAGGGTTGGCCGCATAGTCGTCGACATCGTCACACCAGTTAAAGCACTTATCACCTCGCTAGTACACCCTCACTGCTCGCATCCTCTGCGGCCGCCGCCCACTTAGCCAGCCCTCTCGGCCCAGGCCTTCACCAGCTCGGCTACGATGCCTACGAATTAACTTAACCGATCGCCGAACAACAACGCCCATCTAACCGCATTTTCGACCATAAAAATACATAGCGAAGACCTAATCGAAGAGTTAGGATACTATAGGCATACCTATTTCACTTTCACGTTAATGCTAACGATCGTCGAGATGGAAAACGGAAATAGACACGCAAAAAACTATTAGAAAGCTTACAGTGTCGTCTCCTGTCACATAAACACTACGAAAGAATTCGGCGTTTCAGATAAATGCCGACGCGTAACACGATTTCTCTAACGCGAACGGCCCGTAAAAATATTATAAAACCTTTTATCGGTTAAATGTTCGTCAATTTAATAATAAATTTACTAAATATATTAACTTAATTCAGCTAAAAGTCCGTATATTCTTGAATTCACTCTCAAGATGGCGGATTTTCCCTACTCCTCGTAAATGGGCACAAGGCTGACACGAAAACATCAACCGGCTCTCTATCAATCCCTTTCTTTTGATACTGTATGAAATGAGATAGTAATATGTGGCTAACTTCAACAGAGTTTTGTTAAACGTCGAGGATACGTCATAGAAGATCTGCCAATGGCACATGCGTAAAGTAACGTTATTTAAAATGAACGCAATCATAACAGTTTGGTTTTCAAATGCGTTTAAGTTTTCGTTAATCTCAAGTGAAAAGGATTTTTTTTTGAAAGCGTAAATAATTTAAGTTTAAATTAATTTAGGCTACGAGAAGGTCATCTTTGGTTAAATTAATACTAAAAAATAGTCGATCCAAATTAAATGAGAAGATCGAACTGAATTTTATGTTTTTATATTGCACTCCCAACATGATTATTTTAAATGAAATTTATTTCTTAATTCCCTTTCTCATATTAAGTAATATATTTTAAAGACAAGATTAAATAAAGATTGAATGTCATCGTTAATGTAAAATCAAATTTAACTAAAATTATATTTTATTGCTAAAACACTGGTTGCCATTTATCAAAAAATCAAAAATGGCTGCCTTGTTGTTGGCGACTGTTGTGTGCTTGTACGAATAAATGTTTATTTCAATATTTTGTTTTGCATTGTAATAAATATATATGTGATGCGTAGCAAAGTGCGACTAAGTAATAAGTTAAGTGGTAAGTTAAAGTATATTCCACTTCTTGTTATTGTACTTAAGAAATTGCTAACGTAATATAAGTTGGGCGCAACGTGAGCTTTTTGTGCGTTTTCATAATCGTGCCATTTACTGAATAAATTGCTTACTTATACAATACTTTTATAGGTATCGCAGTGAATATGGTAAAATACAATTTCAATTTATAATTTTGCGACAGAGACATAGCGGTGACCTTAACTAAGTGATTACAGAACAATAAAATAAACGTCCTTACGGCGCAATGCCACAGTTATATACTTTACGAACGTCGATATTTTTCTTAAGTAAACTATGAAAGTACTTTTTATAAATGTGTTTTAAATGTAAAACTTTAATGCAAAACAAGTTGGAGGTGAATGAACTTGGAAACTCGACGCGTAGTCGTAGTCTCATTCCCATCATGTTTATTATTGCAGTCATTGTTTTGCATTTATGTTTTATTGTATTTTTTCGTCTTCTTAGTATATTTAAGTGAATTTCGGTGAAATATTTTACGTTTGACTACAAACTATGTCTTGCAATAAAAAAATATATATTTAAAAATACTATGTCTACTAATTGCGAAGATAAAATTTAACCTCCATTTCAAAATAAACATCATTGCAAAATGTTGTCAGGCAAGTTGTAAATCACATCAAAGATTTTGTATGGTTATAATTTCCATGAATCAACTTCTGAACACAAAGAAAATGACATTTTGGTTTTTCCCCCTAACTTCTGGCTATATATTGTTTGTTGTCTGTATATACTAATATTACAAAAAGTACTGATTTGATGTATATTTGCATTGAATAGGCTCCGAAACTACTGAAGTGAATTGAAAAATTCTTTCACTGTTAGGAAGATACACTATCCCAGGGGACATGGGCTACATTCATTACGAAATTTTTGTTTTAATTCCATGTTGGAAGCAACTCTTACCTCGGACAAGTTTACATAATATCAATTTATTATTTTGTTTTCTTTTCAGATTGTTCCACCAACAGTTACAAATAGGAGAGCATTTAATAAATGGTAGCTAAAGATACCCCACCATTAGTATAAGAATATATTATTATAGTAGTTGAGAATTATCAATTGAAATAATTCAAAATGTCAAAGATGTGGCCACAATCGCAATATTCACACACCAACACACCTTACCAATCAAATGCAGCGAAGACAAATGAACATCAAAATCAACAGAATTTAAAAACATTGGGGATGACTTCTGCTATATCTATGGCAGGTTCGTGAAATATTTGCTTTTGAATTCTAATTCTTTTGAACTCATTTCCCGGTAATGTATCGCCACTTTGATATAATGTTCAATATCTTTAGGAAAATAATCGTCAATTGAGGTATCATCTACATATTATGGTGTCTTGAAATTTCTTTTTTTTTAATATCCTGAAATCGCTAAGCAACCATTGCCCATAGACATGCACAATTGCATATTCATTGCCTACCTTTAATCGTCAGAGAAGGGGATGCACAGAAAGACAATATTTTTCCTTCCCATGCATCCCCTAATCTGATAAATCCATATCTACTTCCCATATTTTCTTTACAAGGAAAAGGGAGGAAGAAAAAGAAGTCTAAAATTAGGCCTCTGGGATGCACTTCTCATGAGATTTAGCACTGAGTGCTGTATAGACAAAGTCTTGAAATTGATGGTGCCTACTTCCACCCAAAGAAGGCCCCACCTCTGAAGACATGTGATCACAGCTAAGCTTGAATCTCAATAATTTTAATCTTTCCAGGCCCCAAACCAATTGATATTGAAAAGACAAATGATTTAAAAGAATCTCTCGTGCCATTCGGTGTATTTGAATCTGAGGCAGAAATGCATCACCGTATGGAAGTGTTGGGTTCATTGCATCGTCTCGTAAGACAATGGATACGTGACGAATCCTTGAGGAAGAATATGCCCCCCAGTGTTGCGGATACAGTGGGTGGGAATATTTACACATTCGGATCTTATAGACTTGGGGTGAGAGATATTTTTTTTTATTTATTTCGAACAACTAACAACTAAATCTAGACATGTTATAGCTAATTTCTTTTATTAAAGTGCCTAATAATTACAAAACAAAACATCCAATAACAAGATTTTGGGTTCAAATTTCACTATTTTTATCAACTATATCCATGTACAAGCCTTGAGCTATCTATGATATACAATTTGGATACAGAAAAACTGAAATAGTACAATGTGAATTTATCCTTCATATGTTTACATAATTTAAGAGTTAAAGACAAAGGTAGTAAGTAGTGGTCGGTCGCTAAATGGTCATGCTTTGGGTAAATTTTATGTGATAGATCTACATTAAGAGTCCTTTAAAACTATGAGTGCAGTAGTTAATCTAAATTTACTGTGATAGTGAAACAAGCATAATTTTGTTAATATCGGCTATTATATCATCATATTTTACTTATTTATGTTATATTTGTAGGTACATCACAGAGGGGCGGATATTGACGCGTTGTGTGTCGCACCTCGTCATATTGATAGGACTGATTACTTTCAGTCATTTTACGAACTACTTAAGACACAACCACAGGTATAGTATTGTTAAATGATTAGAGAAAGAAATCTATATTAATTAAAGAAAGTTGTGTTATTTACTCAAGAATGTCTGATATGATTTGGCTGAAAATTAGTGGGATGTAGCTAAAAACCAGGAGACATAGAATACTTTTTATCTTGTAGCTTTTATATAATTCCACATGGACAGTGTCCCGGGCAAAAGCTGGTTGTAAATAAAAGTGGTATAAAGAGTATAATTTACTATGTGGTAAATTTAGATAAAGCTAGTAAATTAGGTTGACTTGCCTTGTCTCTACTCTGCTGGGTTATGAGTGAGTTGTCTTGTTTTTGGCATGGAAATTCATGTACACTGTCCTTTAGATTTTAAGCTTATTTATCATCTAGAAATAGAATGTTGTCTTGTTGACTGTATTTGAATGGCTACAAAGTTAGAGGAAGAACAAAGAAAGTATGGATGGGTCGTTTGAATGAGGATATGCGCAAGGTAGTGGATTCAGATATAACAGCGGATGTATGGAGGAGTGCATACTGTGCCGGCCTTCCATAGGGTTAAGGGCAGGTTGATTTTCTTATTTTATTGCAGGTTAAAGATTTAAGAGCAGTAGAGGATGCATTTGTACCAGTAATTAAGATGAACTTTGATGGGATAGAAATTGATTTACTATTTGCTAGACTTGCCTTGAAAGAAATACCAGGTAAAATTAAACTTTTTTATAGTAAAAAGTATCAAAAAGTAGTAAAAAAAAGTTAAAAAAAATGTCATTGCATGATAAGTAATGAGAAAAATTAATTTCCAAAATTAAATTTTTCAGATTCATTTGATCTACGAGATGATATGCTGTTAAAAAATCTGGATCAGAAATGCGTGAGGTCACTTAACGGTTGTCGCGTTACAGACGAAATATTACGTCTTGTGCCAAATATAAACAACTTCAGATTGACTCTACGAGCTATCAAACTATGGGCTAAACGTTAGTATTCTTAAATATTTTCAAATCAAGACTAGTAACACAGCAAACAAAGAATACACACCCATTTTAACTGTTAATTTTGTAATTACAAGAATATATCCAAGGTCCTTATTAATATAATAAGCAGTATTTTATTAAAATTTACTTAATTATTTATATTAATATATTTGACCCTGTCTCTTAATTTAAAATTAATCAATGTCAGCTTGATTTTTTTTTAACTTGATTTTGAATCAGGAGTTTCATTGTGTTGTGGTATTTGGACATGTATTTGTGGCCGCCTGCAGCCTAAATGACTGCACAGTTATATTAATGGTTTTAACCAACATTTTGTTATTGAAACAAAAAAAAGAAATTAAAAAACAGTTATTTAGCATTAATGTGTATGGACTAAGACTCTGTAGATATCTTGTAACTAAAAAATAAATAAATAATATCATATTACTTTCACATTTCTTACATTTTATCCATCACCAGGTCACGGTATATACTCCAACACACTGGGCTACCTAGGTGGTGTATCCTGGGCTATGCTGGTAGCAAGAACATGTCAGCTGTACCCGAATGCATTGCCCGCAACACTGGTACACAAGTTCTTCTTAGTGTTCAGTCAATGGAAGTGGCCGCAACCAGTCTTGTTGAAGCAACCTGATGCTGTGAATCTAGGGTTTCCAGTCTGGGATCCACGGGTGAGTTATGAATATAAACTGTTGAATTCAAAGACATTTAAAATATTTAATTTTAAACATTCGAAATTAAATTTTTATATAACTTATCTAAAGCCACAGTATTTAGTAATAAGCTTTTGCCATAGACTTCGTCTGGGTAAATTAAAAAAAAATCTAATATTTATATAACCTTTGCTTACTCCGTGATACTTTAGATTTGAAATAGCAAAAGATTTTTTGAAATCTGTCCAGTAGTTTTTCAGTTTATTTGTAACATACATAAATACAAATACTAAAATTATAAAGAGCAATGCTTTGATTGTTAGCATTGAATAAGTTCTGAAACTCTCCGATTTGAAAATTCTTTCACTGTTGGGAGTTCCCCGGATTCTGGATCCCAAATTACATAAGCTGTATTTATTACTTAATTTTTAATTAGAGATTGATTGATCGACCATTTCCTGAAAGGCCGGCAAGGCATCTGCAGTTCCTCTGGTGTTGCAGATCTCCATGAGTGTGGTTGATTACCTTGGTATTACCATCACTCGTTTGCCTCCTTCTCTTATAAAAAATCGCATTCTTATAACCTTTGTATTATATTATAGGTGAATGTATCGGATCGTTTCCACTTGATGCCAATCATCACACCGGCATACCCACAGCAGAACTCAACGTTCAATGTCTCAGCGTCAACGCGAACTGTCATCATGGAAGAATTCAGACTTGGTAAGAGTTTTATGTATCTAGTATATAATATACTTATATATTTGAATAAAATAAAAATATGATAAGAAAAAAAAAACAAAAACCTTTACTTTTTTAACATTTATAAATGCATAATACAATATTATAATTTAATTTATATATTTTTTCCACAAAATACAACTTTTGTGAAAAATATGTTGCATTAATTATTGTCACAACTGACTAGCTTTTCTCCAACCGCGCGGAAATAAAAAAAACTGAATTAGTAGCCTATGTGTTCTTCCACACTATGTTCTACAACTATGCCAAATGTCAGCGAGATACATGCTGCCGTTCTGGAGATATCTAGTAAAAACATTCGCATTTATATTTTAGTTAGATTATCATTGTATTAAATTGCATTTATCATATTCTCCAGGTCTAGCTATAACAGACGAGATAATGCTGAGCAAATGTGGCTGGGAACGTCTATTTGAAGCACCAAACTTTTTCTCTCGTTACAAGCACTTCATTGTACTGTTAGCGTCTTCAGCCAGCCCGGTTGACCAGTTGCAATGGTGTGGCCTCATTGAAAGTCGAATCAGACATCTTATAAGTGAGTATATACGTTTTAATTTAGATTTACTTTAAATTTGAACTAAAACATGCATATATAAAAACCAATAATTAAAAAAAACTTTTGTATGTTTCTTGTATATTCGAAAATAACAAAAATTACATGTAATATTATAGTTTTTTTTAGTGTCAATTGTTTTTTTTAAATATTTATTTTAAAACGCAATCACTACATGTAGCTGTTCCATCACTTACCATGGGTTTCTGAGACTAAATTCCCCATTTAAAACCTATTGTTTTTTTATCAAAGATGAAAGACAGTGATGACGACATAATTTATGTGGATATTTTGCTCTTAGAAACCCATTGTTAGTACCTCAGTAAGTCGGTTTCTTTTTTAATTAAGGTCAGGTTTTATTGCAAAATAAAATATGATAAAATTATATTATTTCAGCTACACTTGAGAGAAACCAACATATAACTATTGCACATGTTAACCCGGAGTGTTATAACTCTGTGCCTCTCAACACTAACAATGGACAGCCACTTGCCATGCCTCCTGGTAAGTAAATATTATAAGTACGAAAGTTTAAATATATGTATATTTACATATAACTTCAGAAATGCTTAGATAAGCCTGGATGAGGTTCAAAGGCATTCCTTGGAGATCCCCGAAGCCTCTGCTATTGCAGTTGAGTTTCCCACCAAAGTTATTTTAGGGGGTCAAATCTCACATAACCCTGCCGTTTTCCTGAAGGCTACCAATACCAAAAAAAGATAGATCTTGATGAGAAATGGATTACATTTTGGAATAGTGCCTTGTTTACTTATGGTTTTTTTAATTCTTAGCATATTCAGCTTTTTTTATTGTAGTTTTATTTAGAACTATTAAAAAAATATATATTTACATTGATACTAATTAGGACACAATTTAAAAATTTCCTAAGTCATAAATTGTTAATGCAATGAATAATCAAACAAATAACAATTTCTAGGCGCGCCGATACCAACGGATCCAGCGCCTGATGTCAAAAAGAATGATTTGGTAAGTTTATAATAATCTACCTTTACATATTAATAAAATTGGAATATCTGTATGAGACATCGAAAAAATCATATTTCGTACTCAAGGCCCCTTTGGTTCCGGGTAATATCTGGAACATCTGAATCCATTTTAACATGAAAGGGGCTAATGCATCAAGCATATTATCATCATCATCAGCTCACTATAACTCCCCACCGAGGGGCTCGGAACCTACCCTAAGTTAAGGGTGATTAGGCCATAGTCAACCACGCTGGCCGAGTACAGGTTGACTTCACACATATCTTTGAATTTCTTCTCAGATATGTGCAGCATCACGATGTTTTCCTTCACCGTAAGAACGTCGAATAAATGTACATATGTAAACCGGAAATGGAAAAACACATTGGTAAATGGCGGGATTCAAACCCAGGACCTGCAGATTGCAAGTCAAGTCAATGCTCCTCCAATGCTCCTTTTAAGCATAATATAGGATATATATATTATAGGATATACAAAATACATTTTATATTATCACCAATATGTCGTATCATTTCAAGTTTATATATGAAAATCATAGTAGCATTGAATGTGTTAATTTTTTTTTATAATCAAACCTATTCCCAGGGTGAAGTGATAGCTAACCACTGCTCCATGTGGTTCATCGGACTGGTGTTTGAGAAGACCAATGTAAATGTGGACCTGACATATGATATATCATCATTCACTAAAGCGGTGCACTACCAGGCCGAGAACACTAACATGCTGAGAGATGGCATGTCTATTGAGGTTAGTGGAATTTCTATTCCGTCTGCATGTATTCCTGGATTTTGACTGGACTTTGACGGAGTTGATGCTTATGGGCATATAGGCTAGTTCATTTTGTCTTACTTATTAATATTATAAATGCGAAAGTTAAGATGGATTGATGGATTTTTGTTGAAGGAATCTTCAGAACAGCTCAATGGATCTTTATGAAATTAGATACAGATTCAGAACATAGTCTGGAAGAGCATGAATTCTCCTCATTAAGTTTTTAACTCCTCAAGGACGGAGCCGTGGTCTGACTATTTTAGCTAATTAGCAATTAATTTTATATAACAGGCTCGTCATGTCCGTCGTAAACAACTTCACCAATACCTATCGCCGTCTCTGCTGAAACGTGAGCGCACAATATCCGGCGCCAAGCGACGACCGCCCGAGCTCGCGCCGCCCGCCGCCGCGCCACACAAGCGCACGCGCCGCCTCTCAGAGAGCAGCGTGAGTTGGCCACATACAACACCATACACACAATACATAGTGCATCTAATCATTATGAACCGCTGTCTAAACAACTTCACAACTACTGTAGTTTAAAGGGAAGAAAAACTAAAAGTTTTAAGTAGATGGCGCTAGCTCCAAGACTGAGCTGTCATCGTTGGTCATGTTAAAAAATTGCTTGTTATTGAATTTCTGAAGTGAAATTTGGCGAAAGTCGTTGCTATGTGCTAAGTGTTTTGTGTATCTGTGGTAAATTTAGTGCTACTGGCAATCTTGATTATGCTAGCTACTTATTGGTCCTCTTAAGCTGGATAAAAAAACAAATTCCGGCAATAAGTGTGACATAGTAGTCGACGTTTACACTTAAAAACGAAATTCCAAATATAAACTACGCCAATATACCAATTATTTTTTGTATAGAGCAGGCTAAATTTGTCAGGCGAATTGTTTGTCCGCAGATGACATCGTAATATACGGCCCGGGTTGCCAGCAAGCCGAAAGCTAAGATGCTACGCCATCAAGGGTAGTTTTATACATAGTACACTATGTATGTAGATATATTATATATCTAGTTGTAGATCGGTACAAGTTGATTCTTGAAAGTTACAATCTTATCAATCTGAACTTGAGTTAGGAACCTAACTTATAGGCCGGCAATGCATCTGCAGTTCCTTTAGTGTTTATGATATTTATTGGACCAATTTATATTCTGTGAAGCAACACTAGCTTTGTCTTGTACTCAGAGAAGTTTAATGGTTACTAAAAGTAATTTTTATAGTTTAATGGCTACTAAGGATGTCCTTTAGGATAGGATCAATGTTAAGTGCTTGTTTAAATAACCATTAACCTGCTCTGCGTGGCGCAATTTATAGTTTAGTTTACTATAAACCCACAATATCTATAAAGAAAATATATATCGGAAATAAATTTAAACCTTTTAATTTCCCAGACGGAGGAAGTGAGCCTATTATCCTACAATGAAGATTCAAACTCATCAAATATGTACGAGGTTAACATACAAAATGGGACAGCGCAGACACAGACAGCTGAACAAGAGCAACGCAAGACGGACAAACAGATGTCCGAGCCTGCATCAACATCAAACAGCATTGTATGTACGTAGCAGTACGAACAATGGCGTAACCGGTTCATATTTGGAACCAGTAACGTCAAGAAGAACAAAGTGAAACGTGCTTAATGTGACTAAGTGAATGTGATTTGTGATTTTAGTATAAGCAAGTTGGTGCATTGGATTACCTTTGCGGATTTTGGTAAGTCCATTGACTTAGGTTTTGAGTGTTGGTGAATTTGATACTTGTTTCTATTAATTAAAGATTGAAGAATATGAATTAATTCAATCTTAAAGCTATTTTATATTAGTGATGCACATTATTATGACATTCTTAAAATAACATTTTTATTTTACTCAAGGCAATTTGTCTACCAAAACAACTCTCCAACTCTTGATTAATAATGTACATAGAATTATTATATTTATAACAATTAAACAATGGTTCGAGACATGAGATTTTGTGCATCTTTAATATGAAAAATAGATTGTATCATTTAACTAGCATCTCAGATTCCAATTTAGCATACGGGGAAAGAAATGGAGGTGAAAAAGGAATATTTTTTAACTTAGCCTAAACACCACCAGATGTCGCGTGAAGCAACATATTTACGTAAGTCTATCGTAGTTAGAATAATTTGCGAAAAATTAAAAAAAAATATATACATAGAATTTATAAGTGTATTTTATATTTAGTCTTTCGACGGTCCTGTGTTTTTTAACTTTAATTGCAGGTTGTCAACGGAAGGATTAATGCGGCTTCAAGTAAGTTTCGTTCACTTAATATTTAGGACGATATTAATAGACCTTTACAGGGAAATTATTGAATATGTATTTTGTTATTTATCCTTGTTTATTTCGTAAGTCTTTTTGATGATATCATTTTATTTATGACGATACATGATTTTTTAAACTAAATTGTACAAATATAAATTGCCCACCCTTAAAATGGTTGATTAGTACAAATAAAAAAAAAACTGTACTTCTGTGACAGTTTCCATTTGTATAGTTTTAAATTTACGTAGTGGCTTAAAAATAAGCTTAATAATAAATTAAGACTTACATCAATATCATATGGATGTATTCATTCGGCTTGTTAGTTGTATATAGCCCTGAACATACTCTGATAAAAACTAAATTCCCCACAGATTTACATTCAATATGTCAACCTGAAGGGGTCAAATCATAACATAAAAATCAAACATTAATAAATTTTTGCATTATGCAAAAAGGATTAGTCAAACAAATTGTGATTTGAAACATCAATAACTGTGGTTTACACAGTTAAAATACTTGTATAAAAACATTGTTTTCACTCTTAATCTCTTTAGAGACATAGAGATAATTGTAATTTTTTCCAGTTCATCGTTAGTGGAATCTACATATTGCCATGTATCCAATAGATCCTATATTTTTACCATTTTCCATAATCTTTGTCCCCTGTAGATAAAAGATATTGTGCATTTTTAATACCTCATCAACCAAAGCTACCAACTGAGCAATGTAAACACAGATTGCAACATGTTTTCTTGCAAATCCAATCAATATCAAATCTTGACGTAGTATGGTATTTAGTTTTTGTGCCATTAATTTCACTCAATACTATGAGTCCTCAATAACATAAGATCACCCTGATATGATTTGTTCTTTTACATCGTAAATAAATATCAATATGTTAATGTAATACCTTTGGTTTTTGTGATTAAAATCTCTGCATTTAATATATTGTCATCTCTTTCATTATCCTTAACAAAACAGAGATTGCAATGTTTTAAACAGTTTTGGTCATAAACCCTCGGTTATATTAATAAATTAATTTCGCGTGTTTCGGCAGTAAACATTTACAGATATATTTTACATCAAATACTATTTTAATAGTTATCTTCTTAAAGTTTTCTGTCAATCTTATGATATAACATAACATCAAAAAACCTGTACATTTAGGACTTGCTCATTAAATATAAAAATGCTTTGGCCGTGATTGCCTAGACAGGACACTATTGTACCCCCGGGAAGAGGGTGAATTAATTTTCATTCTTTGTTAAACTGTAGTACAAGATGGATTAGAATTATTACAGCTATATAGTCTTTATAATTGGTTTTAACCCGGAAAGATTTCAAATTGGCGCTTTAAAATTTGAACACCTCTTTATAAGAATAATCCAAAGAATTAGGGCAAAATTTTAGGCAAAATAATAAGATCTCATTTGAAATTTTCAGCTATTGTTATAACAACTATATAACTATGGTTTATTATGGTCTTATTTGCTTATTATTTCAAAGGATCCGTTACTTCCAATCCGCCTCTCGAATATTCTAGCAAACTTCTAAGCTTTCAAGTCTATTTAGAATTGTTTATACATTGTCTACAATTAACTTTCACTAAATAGATTGCATAAGAAATTTATCTAGAGCACTGAAAACATGTTGACTCAAATTTATTGTCATATCTTTAAAAACAAGCAATGATTCCACCTAGATAATAAGACTTAAGTGTAGTTGTTTTAAGGACTTTTTAGAGTTTGTAAGTTGTATATAGCAATAGCCATTTGATTACTATTATATATGATGATATATATCGAGCAGAAAATTCATTTAAAATTACAAAAAAAAAGAAAATAAATGTACATACAAAAAAAAACTATTGTTTCATTAAATCCTATATACCAAATGTATCAAATTGACAAATGTTCTTAGAAAAATAAGAATAAGTTTGATTTTAAATATCTGTGTAGTATTTGTGGTAGCTACAATTATATATGATCATTATTTATACGTAATAGCAAATAAAACTATTATTTCAATGAAAATATTTATTTCAAACAGTAGTAATTCAGACCCACATTTCAATTAGGGGGCGTCCATAAATTACGTGAGGTGTTTAACGGGGGGGGTCGAGTCGAAATCTTACGTTGGAGAGAGGGCGGTCTCGGCAAATACAAGCAATTTTTTTTGATTGAAACAAAAATGCAAAAGCACGATGCAATTTATTTTTTCTTTTTACAATAACAGTTCAACGCGTTTACGTAAGAAACTCACATTTTGAAAAATCTCACGTGAGATTGGGGGATGGAGGAGGGGGTTGAATAAAATCTCACGACATCTCACCAGTGGGGGAGGGAGGGGCTGAAAATTTAAAAACACCTCAAGTAATTTATGGACGGCCCCTTAGTAAGGTACAAAACTATTAAATGTAAAGTAATAAACTAACTTCAATTTAAATATAAGCTATTTACTGATCAGTACGCAATGTAATAAAATTATCACTACATTATTTTACAAGTAAATTTCAAAATATGTATTTGTTACTTCCTTATATTTCTTAAACTTTTTGTACATTATTCAAGGCTTTAATCAGTAAACTGTTCTGCGGAGTATTGACTCCTTTCTTTGTAGTATCATGCGCCTACTTCCCATGTCAGATGAGACAGTCGGATGGAGAAGATGGATAACTTGATAGGCATACTATATAACAGAGATAAAGTATGTAATCCTAAACCTATGCCAAGGTGAGATATAACATGTCTATATACTAATATTATAAATGCGAAAGTTTAGATGGATGGATGTTTGAAGGTATTTCCGGAAAGGCTCAATGGAAGTTGTAAAACATAGTCTGAAAGATCACATAGGCTACTAATTCAGTTTTTTTTTCATTCCGCGCAGACAGAATCGTGGACAACAGCTAGTTAGACATAACCTTTTAACTTTTTGCAGATCTCTATGGTTAACAGTCACTTTACTATTTAACTATATAAAATTGGTCTTATTTTCAGATTTAACTTTAGCCTGTTGCGCTTGGAGCTCCAATATCTCATTCTGTATGGACACGCTGAGTTCTTGTATGGGCACAGGCTGCGTGCGCCAGAACACGTTCTGATGTTTACTGCTGCGATTGCGACGCTTGTGCTCTTTTAGATGTACCTGGTTTTCATAGAATTATTATAATTTTAGATATATTATTTACTATGCAATCTGTAATTTGCATACTAATCAAGTAAGTTAACCTTTATAAAATATAACAGTAATATGGTTTGATGATTAGATTGTTTTATTGCCAGAAGCAAATCTTATATATATAAAAGAAAGTCATGTTAGTTACACTATTTGTAACTTAAGAACGGCTTTACCGATATGGCTGAAAATTGGTGAGGAGTTAGCTGAGAGCCAGGAGACGGACATAGGATACTATTTATTCATTTTTTTTTTTCAAATTTATATCTTGGAGAGCTGCTTTTTATTTAACTTACTAATATTATAAATGCGAATGTTTAGATGGATGTGATCTGGATGTGTGGTCTACACTAATTAAGTTTCTTATATATCCACGCGGACGGAGTCGCGGGCGACAGCTAGTATTTAATATATAATGTAAACAGAAAAAAATATATTTAACGGTGACAAAATCCTACCACTGAGATGTCTAAAGGAAGGTACAGTTAAATTTGTTAACAGTATTTCACCTCTACGATGCTAATCATTTAAATGTTTTCTATTGAAACAAAGATGGATGTTCACATACTATTTTAGCTTTTATATTCGATGCAAGTGGAAATTTAATTTATCTGTAACTCATTACTACACTATATGTAGAAGAAACCATTCAGGGTCTTCATATGTAGGTATGTAAGTATGTCAGTGTATATAGAGTTACCTTTTTAACATGCGTGTTGACCATAGAGCGTAGATGGAAGAGCGCGGGGCAGAGCGGGCAGCGGCGGGCGGGTGCTGTGTGCGCGCAGATCGCGTGCTGGTTGCGACGGTTCAGTGAGACGAAACGGCGTCCACACACCTAACACAAATATAATTGCAAATTTTTAGATGGATGGTTGTTTGGTACAAGGGATCTTCGGAACGGCTCAATGCATCTTGATGTTGGTACAGATGTAGAACATAGTCTTGAACAACACATAGGTTACTCATTTTTTTTTATTTTGCGTGGGCAGCATTTGAAACTGTCAGACTTATTTGAAAAATTCTTTCACTGTTAAGAAGTTATTCTATCTCTGGATGACTTAGCCTATATTTATAACTACATTTTATTATAACTTACATCACAGACATATGGCCTCTCATTGGTATGAAGGCGTTGATGCCACATCAATGAACGCTCATCCACAAAGTCACGTTGACATGTCGCACATGAGAACTTCTTTTTGTTTGCTTTTATATTTGTTGAGTTAGTCCGTTTCCTGAAATGAATTATGTAAGATTTAATGCCTAAAACTCAAAGAATTAAAAGTACTTGCAATATGAATGACAAAGCTAATGCTTGATAAAAAAAAATAAAAAAATTACTTTGTATCACCCATCATATGCATTTCATGTTTCTTTATATGGAATTCAAAACTGTTCTCTCCCTTATACATACGACCACAATAATAACAAGTATATTTCTTCATATGTTTCTTTTCATTATGCTCATTTAACTGTTCTTCGTCCATTAACACTAAGCCACAGACTTCACAAACATGTGCCTCTTCGGTTCCCTTCATATCTGCAATTGTATCGTGCCATTTTTGATGTGCAATGATTCTTTCTTTCGTCTTAAACACCATATTACATTCTGTACATTTATGAACATCCGTATGTGATTCTAGATGCTTTTTAAATTCATCTTCATCTTCAATTACTTGTTTACATATCTGTGAAATAAATAGATTGAATTTCAGTGCCACCAAATTGTTTTGAAAATTTACCATAACACAACACCATTGTGGCGTTGAACGTGAAGAACGGCATCTAATCGTTATACATTTGAACATGGATAGTACAAGAGACTAGGCAATACTTCAAAAAGGTTGTAAATGGGTGAATACTTACAGAACATACAAACAAATCAATATCATGCTCTGATTTCATGTGTTCCTTTAATTTACTAATAAATTTGTATCTGACAGGGCATTGACTACAATTCATATAGGTCATTGGGTTACGACGTCTCTTCCTGCGTACTTTATCAGTTTCGGGGAACACTTCCTTAAGTGCATCATTAAGCTGTTTCTTTCCCATATCATTTATAGGAACTAGAGAACCATTTTGCTCTTTGAAAAATGTCCGATCACCATTTTCATCTGCTATTATAAGTATATCAGTATCATCTTCACTTTCAGATATATTTTGACTATTTTCTAGACTATTACTCTCCTCTGTTGTATGTTTATCTTCGTTATAATCTATATTATTGTCATTCAAAACACCATTTAAATTGTAATCAAATATCTCTGTTTCCGGATTAAATAAAGGTATCTTTATACAGAGTGAGTCTGATTCTATGTTATCAGAAATTTCAATAAGGTCTATTTGCTCCTCCAATAAACTTATATAAAAATCAAGGATCTCTTCACTCCGTTTGCTTAATAAATAAAATTTATAAGCAGATGATGCAGCTATGAAACAATCTGAACAAATTTTATATTTATCCTCTGGAAAAATCTGTAATTAGACATCATTTACTATAACTAATAATTTATGTAGGAATGAATAAATTTTTAAGGTTAGCCACAGGAATAAAAATAATGCTATAATTTTAATAAATAAGCTCACTTGGACAAATATTGCAAAGTTTAGAATCTACAGTGTAATTCGCAGTAAGACGAAAACTTTATCCTTTTTGTAGCTAAATATAGCATACTATGATACTCTCTAAATAGTTCATTGAAATTTATCATTGGCATGTATATGAGCAAATTCTTATATAATATTTAGCACTAAACATGTAAACGAAAGAATGATTATCATGAAAGAAAATTTTGTAAAATATTTTACCTTTATGTCACATATTATTTCTAATATGTCTGCAATGCAGTATTCTTTACCATTCTTGCAAATCCTTGTAAACATATCCTCATTTAGGGCGTTCAAAGGTAAAAGACATATACGACACAAGTTCTCGTTTAGTGTACCATTCGCTATATGCTTCACAATTTCTTTTATATTGACATATTTTGCCATTTTTCCTAATGCAAAATGTCGTTTTCTGCTGTAGGCACATTTTGATGATTTTGTATCAAACAAAATATTAAAGTTAAGTTAAAGTCACAGAAAGTGGTACGGATAGAAATGCTATCAAAGTAAGTTTAGAATTTACCTCCGTTTATATTATTGATGCGTTCGTAAAATAATTTTAAGGAAGCGATCACTTTGGCGTTCGGTTTGGCTGGATTCAAGAGAATTTCAAGACGTCATGATGTGAAGCATGTTGCTTGACACTTGACATTTACCGTAGAAAAAAATATTGATGGGAGCAACGGGACATAACATAATTTTATATACTCTTTGGGACATAATAACTACACAATTTGATTTTTAAATTACGCAATCATGGATCGTTTTGCCTCTTTTCAAATATCATCGTAAAATGTCGTCGGTTGACGAATAATCATAATCCATCTCCCCGTTCCAAAGCTCAGAGAAATAAAGTGGAAAAAGTAGTTTTATGTGCCTTTTCTGTGAACGTATGAAATAATCATAGTGTTTATAGAGTAGTAGTGAATTTTTGGTTGCCTGTCAAAAATCTAGAAAAAAATGATAATATCCGTCAAATATCCGTTTATTATTTTGTATTTTTTGTGAATAATTAAGGTAATTACGATTTGAAATAGGCTAATAATTTTGGTAAATATTTATAAACATCCCGGCACTAATCAAAACTAAAAGTATTGTTATTTTGGCGTTAATTACACAATTATAATTAAAAAGGGACTGATTTTGATTATGGTTTTGATTGCGAATTAATTATCATATTAATCAAGAAAATGCATTCGTACAAATATGTATGTACTTGTGTTAACAGACATGGAAATAAATATTTTAAATCAACTCCTAGTGAAATAAAAGAGTAATTAAGAAGAACTTGCAATGGAATCTAAAATAAACGGAGGTAATTATTTAAAAACATAATTTTTTTACATTTAAAATTATTTTCTCTTTATTGAGTATCCTGGACTTAATGGAGGGTAATATAACTATCATCGCGGTATACAACTTCGGTAAAATAGAAACATCTACAAGCAAGAAAAATATTGCGGTCCCTTGAACTCTCGGTTATTCTTTCGCAATGTTGTAACACAGGTATTTTATCTTTTATTTCAGGCGCAAGTATGTCATCTGAAAATAATTTGCATGAAGCTTGCAATAATCAAGATTGTGAAACAATTATAAAACAAGAATACAATGAAGATATACAAATAAAATGCGAAACAATTGAAATTGAAACTGCTGATAATTACGAAAATGTACAAATTAAAGAAGAATACATATCACCTAATGAAAACGAACAACATACTAATTATGAAGTACTTACATCTAAAGAAAATATGAATATGCTTAGTTTTTCTATGGAAAATATTAAAAACGATGTAACAATAACCAATGTATATGATGATAATATTGAAATTAAACATGAAAATGATATACAGGATGTCATGAATGACGATGATGGCAGTATGGACAGTAAACAGGCAGAAGCATTACATAATGTTGAGGCTTGTCTACAGGATGAAATTAAAATTAAATTAGAGAATGAATCACATGAGGTATTTATAAATAACTGACTTAATACTCGCTTTAAGAGCTGACTTCCTATAACTGTACATTTACATCAAGTTTTCTTTATTTCTTTCAAATAACCTATACACCATTATTGAATATTTAAAAAAAAACTTAATTAGTAGCCTATGTCTTCCAGACTATATCCTACATCCATGCCAAATTTCATAGAGATCTGTTGAGCCGTTCTAGAGATACCTTTAAACAATCATCCATCTAAACATTTGCATGTATATTATTAGTAAGATTAGGGTAAAAGTTGAGTTTAAATGTCAGTTTTTAGTCAGAGTGTATTTCTCTATGTTTGGACTTTTAAATATGTACAAATACTGTAATTTAAGTGTATTAATTTTTCAGGATAATGAAAACAATGAATTAGATCATTTGGAGATAAAGAATGAATTTGATTCAATAGTTACTGAAACTAATTTATTAATAAATCCACAAGATGGTATCACAAATACACAAACAACAAACACCTTATTTATGGAAATATTGCCTATGAATATATACCAAGGCGTGCCACTTGGTAAAGTTTGTAATTCAGAAGAAATATTGTCCACATCCTATGACAATGCAATGGACTACACTGATTCTTTTCAATTAAATTCAATAACGGGCAATATGATGTCATTAGAACAAGAAGCTTATGGACTTTTAGAAGCCAAAAGAACGGATAAGGTTTTCTCATGTTCCAAATGTCCGAAAACTTTCAAAAATTATGCATATTTTTCGAAAATACACGAAAAATATCACAGAAATATAGAGAAACGTGAATTATTGAAAGCAAAGAGGTTAAAAATGAAAAAGGCGAAGATAGTGGATGAGGAAAAAGTGGTAAATAAAGTAGTACCCATACCCAATGACAATGGCTATGAATGCACTTGTGGTAAAATTTTCCAACGCAGGACACGATTGGAGTCTTGTCTACGTACACACAAAACAGAGAAGGAACTTGATTATTTGCTCTGTGGCACATGCTTTAAACAGTTCAAAGATAAGGAAGAATTGCTTTTGCACAGAAAACGAATGCATAGAAAGATTATGTTCCCGTGCAAATTTTGTCCCACAGATTACAAAAATCGGAAGGAATTATTTAAACACTTACAAATACATCAGAAAGTTCAAGTAATGGAATACAAGGTATTATCGGAAATAGTAAAAGGAAAACAGAAGTTAAAATGTTTTATGTGCGCCAAAACTTGTACAGAACTGTCAGAATTAAAGTCTCACGTTATGTACGACCATAAGGAACCCTATGTGTGTCCGCATTGCAATGGCACATTTTCAAAAATAATAGATTTTGGTAATCATACAAAAACTGACCATCCCGAAGTAGAAGGCCAGTCTGTGTTGGATGTTTTAGAAGCATTTTCTAAATTAATTAAAGCTTGGAAGTGTGAAGATTGTGATGTACAATTTCACGAGGCGGATAAACTGGCGTTACATAAGATAGAAAAACATAGCGTAGATTTGAAAGTGGACCCACAATTCCAATGTATAGATTGCCGAAGGGTTTACATAACTCTTAAAGGATTAATGTCACATAGACGTATCCATCACATCACAGATAACATGGAAGATTCCGGAATGCCTGAAAAAGGAGTCCTGTGTATAGAATGTAGGAAGGTTTGCAGAGATATAGATGCATTAAGATCTCATAGTCGCCTCCATTCACCAAACAGAAAGTATCCTTGTAAATTTTGCGATTTTAGATTCGCATCACCCCAAAAGAGGAAAGCCCATGCGGAATTGCATACAGGTGATATGAAATATGTTTGTTTCATTTGTGAATACAGATGCAGTTCTGAGAATCGATTAAATCAGCACAAGAAATCAGCGAAACACCTAACCATGAAGAATTTCTTGTCAAGTGGCAAAGCTTTAGGTATTGAGCAATCAACATCTAACACTGATCCGGAGAAACAGGAATGGATGGTGGTGAAAGGTGATGTAAACGATGAAGACAGTAATGATGAGTCGTCAAATACAGAAGCTATGATTACTTGCGATATTTGCGGTCAAACTTTTAAATCAATATATAAAATGCTGAAACACAAAAAGACTCATCCGTTCATTGAAATACCAAACGAGGATAAACCAACAAGGATATTTTTCAAATAGACATCAATCATAACACGAGATAGATTCTCAGAAAGCAAAACTTAACTTGGCAAGATAAGTAAATTGTTGTTTATTATGAATTCTAAATGAAAGGAATATAAGTCGATGTGTCTTCAACTTTTTAAGCTGTACTATAAAAACTTGACAAGTGTTTTTGTTCTTAATATATTTACTCTCCATTGTCTTTTAGAAAAAAAAAAAGGTTAAGAATAAGTTATAAAAATGTGTGATAGCACTTAATTTCTTTTTACGTCTACCCACTTATATAGTTTTCAACTGAATTGTTTTAAATCTTATAAGTCAGATATAATTTTGTGATAATATAAAGGGGTATATTTTTAATAGGTTAATTTTAAAAAGATTTTCATATGTTTTACTGCAATTTATTCTGTGAAAAAGATTGCTATTGGTCAAAGCATACCGGAACCCGTCTACTTAGCTTGTCATTCGTTATTTAATATTTTGAACTTGAATTTTACATTTTTAATTGGCTAAATCATGGAAAAAAGTATTGGGTATTAATTAAAAATTACCTACGGTTTTATATCCTTGGCTGTACCATCACAGATAGTGAAAATATGTTGTCTTAGTTCATAAGAGTTGTGGTATTTGTAAATAAGGTTATGAAAATTATTGAAAAAAATATTATTTACTTATTTCATTTTAATTTATTTTTTAATGAGAAATTTTCGACTACCTACATTTTCATCAACGTTTTTAAACTTTTCAACCCAGTATTTGAGTTCCTTAAGTGATGAAATAAATGTATTATAAATAAATAAATTGTTATGGAATCATTTTTTTTATATTTACTATGTTTTATATAAATCGCGATGGTATATATATATGAATTTATTTTAAAAGGTTATAAGAAAGAGGTTGTATGTAAATAAAAGTTTGTTAATTTTTAAAATCTATTTTATTATCACAAGATATGATAAAACATACATTTGTCATACATAAAATTATACGCGTTCATTTAAAGTTTTATATAAAATGTAATTGTAACTAAATTTTGTTATTAGAACATTAAATGAACATGTTTATTAAGGATTTCAACACAATATTTTTTTTAAGTTTTTTTAAATCAGATTTTTGTTAATTTACTAATATTTCTTATACAATTCCAACTAAGCTCTAGACTTGTGCTAGGATATGGTTTACAATAATCCAATAGCGGGATTCTAACTCCCGATCTAACGACATAGTATACCCCGTCCTCTATATGCTGTTACAAGTTGTTTGGTTTATAATTGTAATTTTTGATTATGAACAGAACTCAAAGAAAACATTGTGTTGAAAATCTTGATAAATAGGACAATTGTGATTATATAAAATACATAAAATATTTAAAATTAATGTATTTGTAGAAATAAAGTCGCTTATATTATCTGTACTACATTTCGCTTACCATAGACATTTGACATTTCATACTGATTGAGTTAAATAAAGTGTTGCCATGTGTATGTTAAATTATTTGCAACTGTATCATTACACTAATTGTATAATATTTTGACATTCCCTTCCGATGTATCCTTTCATCCGGAAAGTCCACTTCCACTTCCCATCCTTTCCTTATAAGAAAGAGGGTGAGAAGGTAAAGATGACATTTAGAGAAATTCAAAGTCGCTTATTTTTTTGTAATTTAATATAATATTTATTAATGTCAATGTGTCTAGCACATGGCAACACTAATAAATGTTAAGACTTTGAAGATGTTCGTTAATTTTGTAGAAACGAGTTAATTGGTATCAGTTCTAGGATACAGTCATAATATATCTTAGATGAAATCAAAATCAATTTTAAACATAATCCGCTTAGGTTACTTTTTTGACATATATTTTTGCATCTAACCTGAATTGGTTGTTGAAAATGCGATGTTCACACTGCTGGAAATAATCACATAAAACATTCATGAATGTTGTTCTCTCATTTGAGATCGTATGTTTTATGTCAAAGTTCAAGCAGTACGAAAAAGTTTTATTTAAATTTTTGTGGTAAAAAAATTAAATATTGATTTAAAATTTTATAACATAGACCTAGAAAATGACAAGACATGACAAAACATATACAGTCCGACAAGGATATCTGAACTGAGAGGCGTTACTATCTCGTTTGGTTCTGTCAGAATATATATAAAACATACGTACACATAGAAAATTACATAAAAGACAAAAATGACATGACAGCTACAGTACAAAGAGGATCTTGTGACTTTTAACGTTGACAAGGGGGCGCTAGTGAGCTATAATTTAGTGTGACTTACGTCAGTTCAAATAACCTTGTCGGTATATACAGTCCGACAAAGATCGTGTGACATTGTTAGGAGGTGTCAATAAATTATTTTACCCCCTTTTCCAAGTACCCGCATTTACTCTGCGAATTGTATGGACCAGTCTTCGGAGACCGGAGCCCCGGGCTTCCGTATGACAAGGACGTCATTACCCCGGTGCAGCGTCATCTGCAGCGCGGTGCTTCGCCCCCCGTGGTGCAGGCGCGCGGTGCGGGGCGCAGCCCTAATGCCCGCTATCACAATGCGCTCGATCCAAGCCCGGGAGGAGAACTGCGCGGATGGATTCACGAGCCTGTAAGTTATATTTGTTTATGTGTGTTAAGGTGGGTTGTCAAAACATATCTAAAAAAATGTTTCTCTTTATTCCTACCAATTATGATATTATCATTGCCGTAAATTCAAATATGACAGCTGAATAGATGTTTCCTTTTGTTAGGAAAAATGCAGAAGAAATAAATAATAAATTAGATTAAATAATCTAGGAATATTATTTTTTTAATAGACTTACGTGTATGTCATCTGTTTAGGTTCGTAAGATATCTTGGCGTAGATGTATTTATTATTCTTGTATTCATATGTTTCTCCGTCATCAATGTAGAGGGAGCCTTGCGCTGTGTTCTAGACAGAAAATTAATATATTTTAAACATGTGTTTTAACACTTTGACCGCCGGTGATTAACATTAAGGTTGTCAATGTACAAAATAATATTTCAATAAATTTCTTGTTACATATAAATAGTTGAAGTATATTTAAGATAAATATAAAAACTTTTTATCATTAGACCGTAAAAGGTTTTTAAATCTAATTTTTTACAATTATTCAGCAACTTACAAAATAAATTTTAACATACATAGTAAGCTTTGTTTACAAACGATTAATTTGAAACAGAATATCATCAGCTCACTATACCTCTCCACTGAGGAGTTCGGAGTGTACCCTAAGTCAGTGACTAGGCCATAGTCAACGGGTTGGTGTAACAGAATAGTACATGACTTACATTGGCATCCAACGCCACAACCAATGTGAAGGGGTCATTGGCCATCAGTGTGGAGGACCTGCGCACACGCTCACGACGCGGCACTACTGATCCACCGCGCTGGTACACTGGGATCTGGTGAGTTTACATACATATATATTTTAATACATTCCGATAACCATAGATTAAAAATATCTAGTTTATTTATCCTTCATTATAATACCGATCTTGCATTATATTTTCGAAAAGCTTGAAAAATGACGCATGTTAGAACGTATCTCCAAAACAGCTTAACGGATCTTGATAAAATTTGGCATAGATATAGAACATAGCCTGGAAGAACACATAGTACTCTTTATTTTTTGCTAAATCCACGGACAGAGTCGCAGGCGATAGCTAGTAACCTGTTGATATATAATCCGGAGCATAAAACTGAGGCGAAAAAAAACTCTGTTAGTTTTATCATATAAGCTATACAATTTTGCATTAACTGCAAATGGGTTGCCATTTAAGAAATATAGGCTCTTTTCTTAAAGAATTCTAACTTATTTTTTTTAATCATACCTTAGCAATATTAACTTCCTGATTGAAATACCCGTTAGCTTTATGCACTTGGTACGAGTCGACGTCGTACCAAAGCGTGTTGGTATCACGGCCGGGCAGGTACACCTTGACACTCTTCGCACCCGCCTCCAGTACTGGACGGACAAGCAGTTTGTCACCTAGTCACAAAAAACATATCATATTTAACTAAATAAAAAAGAAATAAATATCAGTTAAGTCAAATCGTCATATTTTTCGGACATCTGTGTAATGTAGTCACCTTTGACAATAGAGAAACAGACTAGGCCATTGTATTAAAAACATCTGCCACTTTTCTCATGATCATGCAGACTTTATGAACGAATACTGACTAAAATTACACAAGTAAAAAATTTTAAAACCTAATTCAAGACAGACGACAATGTAAAACTTGATAGGTCCTGTCACTTAAAAGTCAAAGTACTCACCCAATAAATACTGATCATCAATGGTGTATGTCTCCTCTTCATTGGGGTACTCCTGGAAGTATGGCCTCGTCACCGGAGTGCCATCCAATGTGTGCTCGTAGAATAAAGTGTACCTATATAACAGAAATAATAATTAATAACATTTAAACATAATAATCACTTAAAATAAACTCCGGAGAAAAATACCTAAAATAAATAAAATAACTAAATCACATCTAACAATTCCAAATTAGTCAATTCGTTAGACTATAAAATCAATTTTTGTTCACTATCAACTCACTCTATATCCCCTGAGGGTCTCGGAAACTACCCTCCAAGTAAGTGAATAGGCCATAGTCGACCACGCTGACCCAATTTTTTTTAGTCTGTATTAAATATTTAACGTTCTTATGCAAGACATAAATATATACTGCTATAAATCGGGAAAACCTTTTTAAAGAGCATTAATAATTCCATTATATAAGTCGGGCAAAAAAAAATCACATAAAATGGTCCTTCTGAAGTCGGATAAAACTCACCAGAAGTCAAGCAGTGCGTATCTCCTCCTGACAGCGTCTCTGAGTAGTGCAGTAGTGGAGGGCTCGTACAGCCAGGGCTCACGTCTCTTTGTCTCTATGTGCGAGTGTGCGCGGAAGAACGCTTGGTATGCACCAGCCTAAATAAATTAAATTCCTTGCTTAGTTTTTTTTTTAATTTAATTTATGGATGTCTTTGTGGGAACATTTTGTTTTTAGTTTATGTAATATTTAAGATAAATGTAAATACTTTTAGTGGAACCTAAGGACAGATTGTGCGTATTCTGTGATATTGATAAACATTTTTGTCGAAATGTTCGGTTAACTCGATGAAAAATAACAGTTTTTTTTATAATTAAAAATATTTTTTACATTATTCCAGTCTAACGATTCCAACTCCGAAATCCAATAAAATAAATAAAGACACAATATTCAAACGTATTTCACTCACCTGATACCACCTGGTCATCAGTTCAGGTTCAGGATACTTGAAGAAACCGCCCACATCAGAACCGCAAAAGCTGACTCCAGCAGCGGCGAGAGACAGGCACATTGGCACTGAAGCCTGCAGGAAGCCCCACTCAGCCGCGTTGTCCCCCGTCCATACAGCCGCATATCTGACATAGTTTTTATATATATAATATATTATACTTGCGACTTGGTTAGCACGGAATAAAAGAAAATAAGCATTTAACATGCCCGCAAACATCAGCTACCTTCCAATCAAAATCTCGTTGAAATCGGTCCAGCCGTTACGGAGATTACGCGGAACAAACATTCAGACAAAAAATTTAAAAATCAGTTTTTCGTTTTTACCTACGAAATAGAAAACATGTAGGATTTTTTTTCTATATTACCAATTTTATCATATGTGTACTGTCTCCCGCGACTCCACCCGAGTGGTATTAAAAAAACTTAATTAGTACTCTATGTGTTCCTTCCAAATCTATGTCAAATAACAGCGAGATCCGTTCAGCCATTCTATAGACACCTTCAAACATACATCCATCCATCTAAACATTCGCATTTATAATATTAGTAAAATATAGATTAATATAAGTTACCTCTGTGTACCAGCAAACGTAGATCTGGTCAGTATGAAGGGCCTGTACTTGTGGTCAGCTCGCTCCAACATACCCTCATTGGTGGCTCTGATCTGCCATAGACCATACTCATTGTGGATATGTCTGTTAAACAAAAATATAATTAACTAGCTGTAGCCCCAGACTCGACTGTCGACAACTGTCGCCAATTAGAAAAACTTAATAAGATCCATCCATACATACGTACCCACAGATAATAATAGTGTAAGATTGTGTATAATTATTTAAACTAAAGCAATTCTTTTGTAATCTGCAGGTCCTGAGTTTAAATCCCTCCATTTACCAATGTGTTATTTGATTTATATATGTACATTTATACGACATTATTAAGATGAAGGAAAACATCAAAACAAAGCTATGGGTGAAGTCAACCCGCACTGAGCCAGCATTGACTATGATCTAGTCACTAACTTAGGGTTGGCTCCGAGCCCCTCTTACCTGTGTTCCCAGTAAGAAGCAAGTCCATCTTGTCCGTCTTGAGGTGGCTTGTAATGTCTACAGTCTTTAGGCATTGTGATCTCTGGACCGTTGAATACCTGCAAACACATTTGTTTGTTTAACCTTAATCTAACAATTACAAATTATTAATTAAAAACTAAAAAACTTCTTAGGAGTTTTTTAGTTTGTTTGTTTAGTGTCAAGTTTTCAAATTAACACAATTATTTATATTATTAAAAAGTTAAACAGTGTGCATTTAACATAATTATGAGTTATGATTATTTACTTAGGAGCTATCGGGAAGATGTATAATAATTTAATAGGGAAGAAAAGGGGAGTAGAAACAGAAAAGGGATGGGAATATAAACGGAGGGCTAGAAACATATAAAGGGGATAGAAAACTATAAATCAACATACACTAGGTTCATTCATATCATTCCAGATGTGAACATCTTTGCTGGTTCCCGGGAAGTTTTCAAATCTATATCTCTCTGAGTAGTACTTGGAAGCAGCCGGGTTGAAGAAGTCCAGGTAAGATGATGAGCCAGGCCAACACCAACCTTAAAGTTATTATATCTAATATTATAAATAGGAAAGATTTGTTTTTTTCTTATGTAACGAATAAACTCAAAAATTACTGGATCTATTACAAAAAAGTTAATCATTACACGTCTTTGAGTTCACTTACAAAGATGATAATTTATATTTTTTGTTCGTAAAAAAAAACTAAAGCAACACAATCGATTTGATTTTTTTTGCAATTACCTTCATAAATATTTCCATCTTTATCTTTGACATATAGGCCTTGTTCTGTCGCATCTTCATGTAAGAAGTATCCAGCTTCCCTTTTGATATGTGGGTCTATGATGACAACCAGACGACGACCCTTGGCTGTCAGATTTGCCACCATCTCCGCTGGATGACGGAATTTCTCAGAATCCCAGGTAAAATACCTAAAAAGTACATACGAGTTATAAACAATTTGCCAGAGTGAAATAAAATCTTTTTATTTTTATTTTTACTTGAATAAAAATGCAGGACTGTTTTTGGCCATATGTAGATTTTTATATGGGTTTGTATGTGAGGGCCTAGAGCCTAAACGACTGAACAGATTTTGACAAATAAGGTGTCATTCGATTCGTCTTCTTCTCCTGAGTGTCATAGACAATATATCAACAAAAAATACTTAATATATTGGACGTAGGGAAATAAATTCTAAATATTACTGTCATTTTTTAAATTTATATATGTAAAACTGACTTCTTTCTGTCCGTGTACTCGATGTCTAGCCAGATGACGTCAGCAGGGATGTCATGGACGTCAAAGTTTTCATCAACACCGCGCACATCTGCCTCGTCCACGTAATTCCATCGCGACTGATGGTAAGCCAATGAGAATTTCTGTAAATAAACCATAGATTACGTTTTTTTTCATACATAACAAATAAACTGTTAAATTTATCGTTGGTTTCTGAGACCAAAATGCCTGTAAAAAAGAGTTTGTTTTCTCTGTTTGGTCAAAGATTATGGTCTCATAAACCAACGAATAGTCATTAAGTAGTTAAGCAGCCCCTTAGTGTAAACTTATTATAAATTTTACGTTTTATAATTATGTCTTAATAGCCATTAAACGATTGATTTAGGCAGTTAGATATCAAAGGTGGTTTAAAGATTAAAATTATAGGAAGTTTATAACTTCTAAGCAAAAAAACTATCACAAATATGACATTGTTAATTTATACAAATTCCTAAGTTTATCGGAGTAAGAAAAACCTAAATTGTTAATGTATTGACAATTTATAAATTAGCCAAATTCACAAACTATCTGTAACATAAAACAATAGTGTAATATAATTACCGGTGGCAATGGAGCTACTCCAGTGAGCTTTGTGTACTGTCGGAACACATCAGCCGGCTTGTTGCCCAGCATCACAAACACATCCACAATACCTGATTCACTTATAAACCTGCAAAATATTATAAATACTATTAACTGTCGCCCGTGACTCTATCCGCCAGGAATTAAAAAAATACTTAGTTCTACATCTATGACAAATTTCAGCAAGATCCATAAAACACCTTTTAACAAACATCCATCCATCCATCTATTTAAACATTCGCATATTCAATAATAACTGCCCGCAACTCCGTCGGCGAAGAAACAAAAAAAAAAGACAATAGCCTATGTGTTCTTCCATACTATGCTCTATATGTATGCCAAATTTCATCGAGATCTATGCAGCCGTTATGAATATGAATTTAAACAAACATACATCCATTTAAACATTCGCATTTATAATATTAGTTACATAGTTAAATTGAAAGTATATCATATTCTTCCCCGGAGTTGTTTAAGTATATTTAAGATGTTTGTTTCCATTAATATTTCAAGAGTAACTTACATACAATTACTTTTGTAAGAAAATATTGTATGGAATTAATTTAGCCTTATTGTCCATACATGATGGCTACTATGTTCCATCATGGTCTACTTTAAGGCAAAAATGAAATTGATTTTCCAAAGCATCTACTACGAAAACGTCTAAAAACTAAACGTCAAAACTGTCATGGTGTTGCCGCAATTGAAAAACAAAATTTTCGTTGAAAACCCCTTTACAATTTCAACTGATTAAGAATTTAAAAATTTTAAGCTTAATAATTTGTCTATTTTAAACATACGTTACATATAAATTGGATTGAAATATCATGTACATATATGACATGTTTATGTACTATTATTTTTTATACACTTTTGCCCCATACTCTTTCTTACACATTTCTCGTGCTAAATTACATTTCCTTTGTACTAACCTTGCATCAACACGTCTCTTATGGCCACCAGTGACCAGATTGACGAGTGAGGAGACAACTGTCCCGTCAGCATAGTTGACAACATCCACCCAGGTCTCCGCTGAGTTGTGCCAGAACACACCCACTGTGCGTTTTGATCTGTAAACCAAGTTATTAAGTTTTTATCTTACATACAAAGGAGTAATATTTATCAAATGTTTTTGTAGTTTTATAAGATTGTTTGGGCGATTGATATCAATTCATTTTGTTTTTTTTTTTTAGTTATAAGCTAGCAAACAAGCGGTCACTTGAATTGGTCGAAGTGACTAAACGATCGCTACCCATAGACATCTTGAATGCAGTTTTTGTCTACCTTTAATCGACGGAGGAGGAGACCTACAGGAAGAGAATTTCTCCGCTTCCTCTCAAATCTCCATACCCTTCCCATCTTTTCCTCATAAGATAAGGTATCCTTCACTTTAGTTATTACATTCAGTCGGGTTTTATCAACATATACTTAAATTTGCCAGATTTAAGAGAACATTTTAGACAAATATAATACTAAAACCGCAATCATTCTTTAATTTATAATATTACTTATATTAATTTAACATTCAAGCACTCTTATAAATAGTAAAATTTAAGTAAATATGTTATCTTTTTTTTTTGTATAACACGAATCAATGATGTATATGCAACTTACTGATAAGTTATATTATTAAACATACCCATGTGCATATAAGACAGGTACAGCTCCATATATCGCCATCCTACTGTCCAATTCGTATTCAAACACATCCAAATTGTACAGTCGGTACGGTTCACGGGACGTCGTTGTACGGAGGGCAAACTTGTCCGTATGTTCCGGTATACCTAGAAATAAAACAACATCATCATCATCAGCTCACTATACGTCCCCACCGAGGGGCAAGGAGCCTACCCTGAGTTAAGGGTGACTAGGCCATAGTCAACCACGCTGGCCAAGTGTGGGTTGGTTGACTTCACACATATCTTTGAATTTCTTCTCAGATATGTGCAGGTTGCATCACGATGTTTTCCTTCACCGTAAAAACGTCGGATAAATGTACATATGTAAATCGAAAATCGAAAAACACATTGGTACATGGTGGGATTCGAACCCAGGACCTGCAGATTGCAAGTCAAGTGCTCTACCACTGAGCCACCGACGCTCAAATAAAACATAGTATATATTAATTTCACCTGCCTTCTCTATCTTACTAATATTAATGTTTGTACGGATGGATGTTTGTTATCTTTATATGATATTTCTGATAAAAATTTAAAACTCACCATAGATTTGATCGGCATCTGGGAAGGAGACATCGAGAGAGACAGCCTCATTCCCTCGTGGCTTGCTGTCATGATGTGACTTGAAATTCTCTCCCCAAGTACCTTCTTCCTCCTGAATAATAAGGTATTGGATTTTTCAAATATCTTGGTGGCTCTGACCTTGAGCCGCCAACATATGTAAAAAGATGTATACCACACACATATATAAGTACTAAAAAACGAGATTCGAATCACTATCAATTTTTGATTGTCTTAATACACTTAATCCTGAAATTATAACTTAAATTGTACTTAAGTATAGATATCTGATTCTAAAAGTACAATGAGGGTCTCCTTTATTAACCAAATCCTTAGGCTATTCGACAAAGTATGTTCTATTAAGCTGAATGTGGTATTTTCTAACTTGGTGGATTTAAGTGAATTAAGTTAATACTTTAAGCTGCATTAAAAAACTTGGTATATAATACACACATTTCATTCCGTCCAACATTCCCCATAGTGTTAAAGATTCATTCAGTTGAGTTTGTTTTTTAACCGACTTCAAAGAGGTTTTTTTTTAATTTATTAGTTGAATTTGTCATGATAGTAATTGATGTCAAACAAAGAGACTAGACAAGTTCAATGCACATGCAACTAAAGTCTATTTCACAACAAAGAAGAATCAATGAATTTATCTGACTCGTGTAACAACCATTGTGACGTCTTATTGATAATAAATACATCTTAATAATTAATTAATCTTAAACCAGATCACAATTTTGAGACAAGTTTCTAAAATATTATTACTTTGTATTGAAAAAAAAAGTAGCCTATGTGTTCTTCCAGATTATGTTTTACATCTATGCCAAATTTCATCAAGATTTTCTCGAGATTTCTCGAGATATATTCCAACAAACATCCATCCATCTAAACTTTCGCATCTACCATATATAAAAATATATATGGACTTTCTTTTATATATATATATATATATATATATATATACACATATAAAAGAAAGTCGTGTTAGTTACACTATTTATAACTCAAGAACGGCTTTACCGATATGGCTGAAAATTGGTGAGGAGGTACCTTAGAGCCAGGAGACGGACATAGGGTACTATTTATTCTTTTTTTATTTATTTTTTCGAATTTATGTGTTGAAGAGCTGCTTTTCATTTAAGTTACTAATATTATAAATGCGAATGTTTACATGGATGTGATGTGGATGGATGCATGGGTGTTGAAGATATCTCTAGAACGGCTGAACGGATCTCGATTAAATTTGGCATACATATAGAACATAGTCTGAACGAACACATAGGCTACACAAAACAAGTTTTCTTATTTATCCACGCGGACGGAGTCGCGGGCGATAGCTAGTTTATAATATTATTAAGATTTCCTATGGATTATTAAATTAACTTTATTAAGACATTTATTGATTAAAAATAATATTAAACAGCAAATAAAGCATTATGTATATTGTTTATCATCAATTACGTAATAATGATCTCACGACCTCACGAAGACAACTAATTAATAAGTAATTAGATAAAAAGGTCAATAGATATAACATCTGTCATTCTTTGTTTTATTAATAACTAGCTGTCGCCCGTGACTCCGTACGCACGGTATTAAAAAACTTAATTAGCAGCCTATTTGTTCTTCCAGACTATGTTCTACATCTATGCCAAATTTCAACGAGAACCTTACAGCCTTTCTGGAGATTCTAACAAACATCCATCCATCTAAATATTTACATTTAAACTACAAAAATATAATTTGAGGACAGTTTTTAAGGAGAGTGAAAGAGATGCAAGTATGTTTCTATACAAATGTTGTGGCAATGAAAACTTATAGTTAAAACATAGACGAAGGATTGAATGATAATTTCTCATATAAATATTGTAGAATAATTTTTTTTACTAATATTATAAATACCAAAGTTTAGATGAATGGATGTTTGTTACAAGGTATCTCCGGAACAGCTCAAAGGACCTGTATGAAATTTATCACAAAGTAGAACATAATAAGAAACACACAGGTTACTAATTGCGTTTTCTTAATTCCGCACGTATGGAATCATGCGACAGCTATACATAAAACAATGCCTCACAACGTTAATTTCAATAAACATATACTGTCTATCATAAATACTCGAAAAACCTATTTCCTGTATCAAAAGATGTTTGAAAACATGAAACGTGTAAACATTTTATCAGTCACGTAGTAAGATAAATAGATCATTGATCTTAAGGAAATGTGTAACACGGTCAGATACTGATAACATAAAGATTGAAGGTTGCATCTGATTGCAATTTATATCACAACAATTGAATAGTCCGAGATTCGATTACTTTATGTTGTCATTTGAATAGAGAGGAAATTAAATTAGAATGGCTCAACGGACTTTGCTGAAATTTGGCATAGATGTAGAAAACATAGGCTACTAATAACGTTTTACTTAAATCCTGCATGGACCGAGTCACAGGCTTCAGCTCCCATATAAATGGGTTTATTTCCTATATATCTTTGATTTGACTGAATAACAGCACCTTAATACAAAGTCTATAATAAAATAACTACAACTTACAACTTCAACAGCTTTCTCCGCATTTTCTTCATCTTCATCATTTTTCTCACGCTTCAGTCTCAGCGGTTCGATGAGAAGCTGTGAGTTCTCATTAATAACCACTGCTACATCACCATTCTGATCTAGGAACTCAAACTTGAGGGGCTCCGCAGTTATCAAGACTTTGTGACCTTGAGTATTGGTCAATGTTAGTTTACCACCCTCCTTTGACACTAATTGAAGTCTGCAAGTAAGGATTTTGTATAAACTGCTTGAAAATAATTTAATTACAAAACATTGTGCAAACAAGAGTTCAAAGGACCACTGTACTATTTGTTGTTATGTATTTTTGTGTTTCATAAGATTTTGGCTATGAGCTGATCCTCTCTCTCTCTCAAGGTGCCTCTCCATTTATTGGAGGTTGGCCGTCAGCTTAGTGAACTTTCGCCGATCTTGTGCCAAGCGAAATAAATGTTCCATGCTGGTAACATGAGTTGATTATTAAACTATATAAGTAAATTTTGTAGGTAAGTCTAACTTACCCATCAGCCTTAGGTTCTCCATCAAGAGCCAGTTGTGTTCTATAACGAGGATAGATGGGGTCAGCCTCATCAACTTGAATCCTGAATGTTCCATCTACTAGTGCTGAGAGTGTTAAGGAGTATTTCCACTGAAAGAAAACATTACACATCAATAATGGTAGATATCAAATGTTAACTTCCTTATAGACAATAAAGTCGCTTTATATTTTCACAATTACTGTTATGGGATTTTTTATTTGGTGTGAGTTGTATTATAAAGTATGGTTGAATCTTGTTTATGTAAATTGTATGTATACTAAAGACCAGGGTGGACTTTACATTATTCTAAAAATAAGATATAATTGCTATAAATAGAATAAATAATTGAATTGTCAGATTAATCTCTATAGTTAGGTAAATAGAAATTAATACCAATGGAACTTTCTTTTCAGCCTCCGTATTCGCAGTAGTAACCTCTGCGGATAAAACATTTCCGTGGACTATAACTGTATCCAAATTAAGTGTATACTGAGACTTCTCCGGTTTGAATGGTCGCAGCCGTTTACAAAAACCAGACTGATCACATGTCTTAAAATTATTCCTATCTACACCTAACACACCGACTGCTAGTAGAAATATCAAAGGAAGACCCAGCGGCTTCATTCTGCAAAAAAAATATTCAAGAATCAGTGACATACACAAAGACCGGGTTGACAATGACACTAGAAATACTAGCTTTGTAGAAAATACCTGGCCAAGGGGTCGATCAAATGTTTATAATCACTATTACTTCGATATGGTTTCTAATTTTACAAAAACATTTCAAAGAATACGATTTTAAATCACTTTTTCCACACAGTTATTGAGATAAAACACACGCTTCCGTTACGTGGAGAAATCTCGTTTGTTCCGTTTTGACAAATTATTGACAAGTGCTTAATGTGTGTGTTGCTAGTTAAAATTATGTGTTAAAATTTTAAGAATAATCACAAATTATAAATTTTATTTATAATTAAAAATTTCGTATCAATTTAATAAATAAGATTTTCAAAGCCTTATAGATTTACGGAAAATATTTATGTGAATATGTCAATATGTATTCGTTATCCAATCAATTGGCTTTTCAAATCAAAGTTCAAACGTCAAATCTTCTCAAGGAAATGTTATCGCCGGCTTTTCAATACGCACAATTTAGTAAAAACATCATCCAAGTCAACTCATCAATATTCAATTATAAAATACAACGTTTGTGTTCTTTAACAAAAATGACTACTCAAGCAAAGTGGAAGATTGAGAAGAATCGTGTTCTAAATTTACCATTACAAGAAAAGAGAAAACTTTATAGAACTTGTGAATACATTACTTTGGAAGATATTTACACTTGGTCTAAATATGCTAAAGAAAATGAGCATATTAAGACGAAACTTCGTACTGAAGATGATCTTAACGAATTCAAAAAGTTTCATATCAATCCTGATAAGAATGCCAACCTTGCTGAGAAGGTGTCAATTTTCAAGGGAGATATAACAAAATTAGAGGTACGTTTACATTTTTTTTACGTTACATTTTACGAATGATTTTACTTAGTTTCTCAATTTATTTATTTAATTGTTTAGTGTAAGTAATGATTTAAAACATTTTTTTAGATTGACGCTATTGTAAATGCGGCCAATTCACGTTTGAAAGCTGGCGGTGGTGTTGATGGTGCTATACACCGAGCAGCAGGACCGTTACTACAGGTTAGTTTTTTTATAGTGTTAGAATGAAAATAATTGTAAAAAATGTTTGTATCATATTTTGGCAGAGATGTTTACTGCTCCATAATCATAACATCTAAAGGTTATCATTTTTATCATAATTACTTTCAGAAAAAGACATGAAAGTAATGAATAAATGCTATTCATATTGATGGATCTTATGTAGATTATCGTAAGACACAATTTTGTGATTTACCCTCTGTTTTATGTTTTCTTTACTTGATTAATACTAAATTCTGTACATTGAAATTTATGTTAGATAGAAGAACTGTAGATTTTGATTGCCTATTTTATGTTTATGTTTCTTACAGGATGAATGTAATTCTCTTGGAGGGTGTCCTACAGGTAAAGCAAAAGCAACAAGTGGATATGATTTGCCAGCTAAATGTAAGTAAAAACAATAAAAGGACAAAGAAAATATGAAGTAAAATTTCTATTCTTTTTACTCACAAACAAGTGTGGCAAGAAAGGTTGAATAAATGCATTTTTCCTGTGCAAAGCAAAGTGAATATCATCAGCTAAGAAATGTATTAATTCTAAGATATTATTTTCAGATGTAATTCACACAGTCGGGCCACAAGATGGTTCTGCACCACAACTTCAATCATGCTACGAACATTGTCTAGCCCTTAAAAGCGAATGTCACTTCAATTCTATAGCCTTCCCGTGTATTTCAACTGGAATTTATGGTTTTCCGAATCGTCTAGCAGCACATATCGCTCTTAGGACTGTACGGAAATATCTGGAGTCAGATGACAACATGCGAAGGGTTATTTTTTGCACTTTCATGCCAACAGATGTGGACATCTATGAGACATTAATGCAATTGTACTTCCCAGTTGAAGAATAAATAAAAAGTGTCTATTATGATTTAAAAAGCATGAAATGCAAACTTAATTATGTTATGGTATTGCATGTGTGTGTATAATCAATAACAATAAAGGATTAATTTTTATTACAATTATTATTTTTAATTTTATTATCATTTGGAAAATACTAAATACCACATATTTATTGTTTTCTTGAACACTAAGCATGTAATGTTTTGCAAATTATTGAGTGGAAACTCGGATGTTAGCTCAAATAAAGCAACTAAAAAAGTTTTAAGATCGTAACATCCCCTAATAATATGGCAGGGGGTGAGATTTCTTAAACAGATTGTATTATACACAAAAGATACATAGTGCCATTTTCGTTTGTGCCGATTAGATTTGAAGTAAGGATGTAATTTGTATACTCAACAATTTATAATGAAACATAATTACATTGAAAAAGGATAAAATAAAATTTTGAATGCATAAACCAAAGAGTATGTAAAATATGGCAAATAGTTGGCAACACAACCATCATCTGTTTATGTGTCACTGTCATGTTGATGTCAATAATTTCGGGAAAGTTTTCATATGTTTGTTTATCGTAAATTAATTGTATTTTTTGTTACATGAGATATAAGACGTAAATATACCGTTGTAATTTGTATTTGAATTTTAAAAACAGATTATTTTGGTATGTCTGATGTCTTGGAGTTGTAGAATTGGTTAAATGTAAATATGTCAGCAACAAATTCTTTGGAGAGTGGTGAGGACTTAGAAAATGTGGCGTTAGTACGTATGGAAGATGTACAGCCAGATAGGAGTGTTGAAGTGACAATAACGCGTAATGAAGGTGACGAAAGTAATGACAATAGTTGTAGTTCAACCGAAGACGAGGAATCAAACACTGGAAGTATTGTGTCTGTTAAATACGAAGAAGTTGTTGATTGCACGGAAAACAGTAATAATTCTGAGCTGATTGAATCTAATACAGACCCGCTTAAATTGGTAAGCCTTAGGCAATGTATTATTTTGCAATGTTATTGACTTGAGAAAAATATAACTACAAAATATTTAAAATTATAAATGACTAACTGTTGCCCGCCACTCCGTATGCGCTATATTATAAAAACATAAGTAGTAGCCTGTGTTCCTACAGACCATGTTGTATATGTATTCCAAATTTCATCGAGATCTGTTCAGCAGTTTTGTTGATACCTTCAAAGAAACATCCATCTATCTAAACATTAACATTAATAATATTAGTAAGATAGTTAACAATATTACCTAAGTGTGTAATTCGTCATTAGGACTTTTTAATATGTTTAAAAAGGGAAGTGGACGGAGAAATGTAATTTATTCTTTTTCTGTGTTTCTCTACTTCTGTTTATTATGGCAGGAATAATGCGTCTGCTTTATGTAGGTTAACTGTATATACATGTGTACATGACAACAGTCATTTAATTATTTTAACTAATCGGTGTGACTGCTTGTTACTTTTACCCTTTCCTAATAATTTGATAATATTAAAATTACCAGGATGATGAACCTAAAACCAAAGAGTCTGATCAATGGCCAACATTAGAAATACTGCCAGGTGGAGTTATAAAGAATGCTGATAGATATGAAGATGATTTATTTACATGTCAATTAGAAGATGATAATAAAAATGATGTTGCAATGTATGCATGTGCTATTTGTTCGGAAAGTTTTGACGAATTAATGACACTTAGCCTACATGTAAGAGATCATGAACAAGAAAAGAAAAGAGCAAATAACAAACTTCGATGTAAGTAATGTTTAAACTATAATTCATATTTAATTTGAACCAAAGAGATTCAATTATAATTATAACTAGCTGTCGTCCGCGACTCTGTCTGCCCGGAGTTAAAAAATCACAACAAGCAGCCTATGTTCTACATGTATGCCAAATTTCATCAAAATCCATAAAGCCATTTTAATATTAATAAGATTACAGAGGAGATATTATGAGCATACCAATTTAAATCTCTCTTTCAACTTATAACAAGTGTCAAAGTAGACAACCAAAACTCTACATTTGATTCATAATGCCTTGTCTATTGTTATGAATATGTTAATTGTCTCTGGTTCGAACACAGACCAGTAAAAGATGTATGTATGTTATTTAAAAAAAATTAAATAAAGTTAAAAGTTTTTTATGGTATGATTATATATTTGCATATGGCAAATTTTGCACATTTTTCAAATGTTTTTGACTATCTTTTTTATATTTGCAGATTTAGAAAACAAAAAAAATGCTAGCAAAAGAAAAATAGTAGATATTACTTCGGAAAGCAAGGTGCCAAAGAATGCCTAGCTAAAAATATTGTGTGCACTTCATCTAGTTAGTTAATATGGAAAATGCGTCCGAGACAAGCCTTTAATACAATTAATTCTATATAAAGAAACAAAATTATTAATTATTAGGTAGGGAGAGGGATGCTGTTATTGTGGTTAGCTCTGTCAGAAAAAAACAAAAAACTTTTTGGATTTTGGCAAAGCAACTAATTTGAATTCAGTTTTTTTTATACCACACTATATTTTTAATTCATTTTATTGATTTACTTTTATATCCTACAAATTCTGTTAGAAATTCAATATGGAAATCGCATCGCACCATGCACGGTATAATTTTAGAGATGATTTTTTTAAACAAATATAAGGGAAAAAATCCAGGAAAAATCAGTCGAAATATATTTTTACGAAAGTAAATTTTGTTAATTTTACTTTAAACAAAAAAGTGTTTAATTTTTTTAATGATAATTTTGTCTACTATATTTTTTTATAAAAATATGTATTTATTTTAACAAAGATGTAGATTATATTAGTTATAAGAATAATTATAATTTTATTATTGAGACGCAACAAAATATTAAATTATTTACAGCTATACCAATTTTAATAAGAAATATTTTTCACGGATTCATCATTCCAAACTAACTTGTCTTTTTCCTCACCGATTTACTCCACTGGACAGGCTATAAGCCTTCGTATGTTGTGCCTGTTTGATGTTCGCTACTTTAGCACTGACGGCTGTGGTAACGGTGTTGAAAACGTGAACTAATTATAGAGATAGAATAAACTGACAGAAACGTCAAATAGTGCTTTAAAATTGAAACAAAGCAAAAGCCGTTATTTTCAAGCAGCTATCTGTTTGGTGAATATCTACAGAGGTCAGTAATTTTATCATTTTAGTAAATTGTTATTAAATTTAAATTGTTGCATTTTCAAGAAATAGATTAAATCAATTAAAATTCGTTATATTTTAATATAACAAATAATTTTAATATAAAAAAAAAATTCGGGTATTTTACTATGAAATATTCGTTTGATTTTTTTTTGTAGAAATACATTTTGTGGCTCATGTTTTAGTTTTTAAGAAATGTTTTGTTTTGAGATATGTAATAAAAATATAATAAGTTGATTTTATTAGTATAAATGGTTTGGTTTTTTATTATTTCTACTATAAACTACAGTTAATTGTACTTACACAATTCAACAGTTCATTTTTTCCGCAGTGAAACTGCGTTTAAACTAAAATTAAAGAAATTTACGTATATAACCTATAGATACATAATCCAGAGGATAAAAGTTAGGCAAAAGCCCTCTGGAAGATTTGAAGTAACTTCCCTCAGTGTTGTCATGTACAGTCAGCGTCATATAGATCGTCACAGACAAGATATGCAAATATATAGGTACACCAAAAGTATTCAATTATATCGGTACAACAAAAGTCCTCAAAATAATAGATACATTCACCCTGCTCAAATACATCGGTACATACACAGCGTCAAATATATGAGTACATGCAAGATGCTCATAAATATCGTAGCAGCCACAGCGTCATAAGTAACGAAGCAGTCAAGGTGCGCAAAAATATCGGTACATTTGACAAAATTGAACTCTATCTCCATATACTTGTGATACAATTTGGAATAAACTACTTCTGTTACATTCATTTGACACTTTGCATCAAACCATTTTTCAAAATTTGCTAAAAGTGTTCGACGCGGATGACAGATATTAGGTAGATAAAACCAACATCAAATTTAAGTTTGTCATCATATATGCTAGGTTGGTCTCGTGGCCTTACCGTTCGCCGCCGTTGGTACGTAAAGTCGGCGGTTCAAATCCCAAGCCACTATTTTTTTTTTATATTTAAACTTTTTAATTTTAATATCGAAGCACATGTAATTCAACTTTATCGCCGTAGTTATTAGGTACTTTTTGATATTGCTTTGGACTAATGAGTTTGACCGTTAAAGTACTTTTCTATTTCAAACAAAAATGAAGGAGATAAAGCGATGCTATTGGCATGTAATTTGTTTATTACTCATGTTTGTTAAACTTGTACCGGTAAAAATAACACTTTTACCTTTACCTTTTACTGATACTGATTTTATTTAAGAAAGAAAGAAAAAAACTGAATGTCAATATCCAAACTACATCAAATTTTTGGTCGATTGCAATAAACATTCCAGTGTGCGTGGGCGCGCACACATATGTAGATAACACTTGTACGTATAGT